TGCTGTACTAGTTGTGTCTTTCCATGATCGTTCGACAGCCTTTTTTCTCTGTGAGAACTTTAAAATGATACGGAGGGGTATGTCTTGCCAGATGTTCATTGCAAGAAAAAGCTGGCACCGGGGAGTAAGTCAATCACATCACCAACACATGGTTAATTTGCCAACATTTCTTCGTAGCAAGGTTTCCCTGAAAAGAAATTAGTGCAAGTTTTATTCACTGTAAAGTAGCACTTTAATAACACTGATCTAGGTGGTAAGGGTGTTAATGGCCATTTTCTTCTTGCCAGTCCTATGGGAGGGTGGAACAGCCTGATGTGATGGATCCGATGACTGGCTCATGGTGAGGTGTTATCTTCACAGAGAGATAATCAATAATAGGAGGTGAGACTTTTGAGTGTTCACTCTATGTCAAGGCCTGTTCTATGTACCGTATTTTTTGGACCATAAGATGCTCCGGACCATAAGACGCACCAGTTTTTAGAGAAGGGAAATGAAGAAAAAAAGATTCTGAAACAAGTAGTGTCCTAAAATATTTTATGTGCATTAAAACCCAACATCACAGTCATAAACACATGTAATCAACCCTGTAAAGTAAACAGCAGCATTTAGAACCATTTTAGAGCCAGGCAAGCACACAGAGACCACACAGAGCCGGGCAAGTAAAAAAACTTTTTTTTTAAAGTATATGTGTAGGCTATATTTGGACCATAAGACGCAGGGACTTTTCCCCCCCACTTCTGGGGGGAAAAAAGTGCGTCTTATGGTCCAAAAAATACGGTAGTTTGCCTGAATGAGCTTACTTTAACCTTACAATGACCAGTGAGGTGGGTACTCATATTGTCCCCATTCAGCATAGGGAGAAACTGAGGCCCCAAGAGATTCATTAACTTTCCCTAAACCTTAATGTTAGTAAGTGGCTATGTCAGAATTAAATCTAAATCTGTTTGAAACCAAAGTCATGCTATAGCTAGATTACAGTTGTACAACAGAAACTTCTGCAGGGATGAAAATATTCTGTGTCTGGCAGATGTGGCTCAGGGGTTGAGCATCAATCCATGCACCAGGAAGTCACCAGTTAGATTCCTGGTCATGGCACATGTGTGGATTGTGGGCTTGATCCCCAGCAGGGGGCATGCAGGAGCAGCCAATCGATGTTATTGGTTCTCACTGATGTTTCTATCTCTCCTACTCCCTTCCTCTCTCTCTCTCTAAAAATCAATAAAAACATTAAAAACTGTTTTTAATTTGCTGTGTGCAGCATGGTATCCAATAACCACACGAGTACTTAAAATATGGCTAGCTCAAACTGAGGAAGTGAATTTCCAGTTTCATTTTATTTTAATTAACTAATGATTGTAGTTAAGTAGCCATATGTGGCTAGTGGCTACTAAATTGGACAGCACAACTTTGGATACTTTTTGTATATTGCAGACTACAAGCTAATGGGAAAACCAACCCAGGAAAATACATTAATAGAATATGCTATTCTTTCTCCATTTCTAGAGTTACCCAAGAAAAAAGACTGTCAAATCTGTTGCCATATGGAAGATTTAATTTAAAAATTAATTAGTGACTGCCTCCTCTGGTTCAGGCACTGTACTAGGTTTTAAGCATTCTAAATGACTAAGCTATGATTCCTGTCTTCAAGGAGCTCATTATCTCAGTAACTCTGAAGAGCAGGTTACCCATTTTTCCCCTAGAATTTCTTCATAGATGATACCACAAAAGTTTAATCTCTCCTCTCTAATTCTTTGCAGTTTTGCCTTTATTTTTTAACCAGAGGCCCAGTGCACAAATTCATGTACCAGTGGGGTCTCTTGGCCTGACCTCTGGGGTCTGTCTGAAACTGGCTCTCTGACATCTCCTAGGGGGTACTGGATTGGGAGAGGGCACAGGACAGTCTGAAAGATCCCACTGGTGCACAACAGGGGCAGGGGAAGGATGCGGGAGATTTGCCAGCTGGGGAGGGACTGTGGGAGGGTCCCAGGGTCTTTTTGGCTCATCTCTCTTACCATATTTTCCGGTGTATAAGACGACCCCCCTAATTTTACAGTTAAAACATAGGTTTAGGCCTATATTCGCTGTATGAGACTACCCCCCACTTCAAAGAAAAGACTTACTTTGCTGTCAAGATCTGCAGGTAATTTTGTGTAATTTTGGTCTTTTGCCCCTGATTTCGATTGACTTTTTTTCGTTTCAAAAGTCATCTTATACACCGGAAAATATGTAGTCCTGATCGGCTGGACACCAGCAGCAAGGTAACCTACCAGTTGGAGCATCTGCCCCCTGGTGGTCAGTGCACATCATAGCGAGCAGTTGAGTACCTTTGCATATCATTAGCATATTACACTTTGATTGGTTGAGTGGCTGACTAGTTGACTGGACACTTAGCATATTAGGCTTTTATTATAGGATATTTTGTAACAAACAGACTATTCTTTTCTTTACTGCAAAATAGACTTATTGATGCCAATTCTGAAATGTTGCTGGAACCACTCTCCTCATAATCTATTTACATTATCCATTTGAGAAGTGTCAATCCTGTAGTGTTCTGGGCACTTCCAATTATTTGTCTAGTTTATTTAAAATCCCAACCTCATCTTCATATGTACCTCCAGTTCACATTATAACTGTGGGACTAGTATGGGAGGGAGGGGGGTGCCTTCTAGCTTTCTCTTTTTAGTTCTAATTGTTGGAAGTTAGAGACTGAGAGGGTGGCATAGGTCCATCTTGGTCAAAGATCCAGATGTCTCCTGCTTCACTAGGCCATCTTCTGTTTCCCCCCCCCCCCCCCCCCCCCGGTTAAAAGTAACTAATCTTTGATACCTTCTGTATGAGAAGGTTCTAAAGTTGGGCTCTCTTATAGGATATGTGTGTGAGTTCTACATATAGTGTGGAAGTATTAGGGTCTACAGTCTAAAGGAGTTTCATAGCTATGTCAGATTCCTGCTCCAGGACTAACTCAGAGGTAGGCAAACCCTTAATATGTCTATGCCTTAGAAACCACACTGGCCTTCTGTGGGTGATCAGGCTTAACCTCCCCTGGTGGTACAGATCAATAGTTCTGATTATCTGAGTCCCATTGGAGGCCAGGCTTGATCACAGCTTTGCTGGATCAAACAATGGGAACAAAATCTGATACTTCTCTCCATTATTATTTTCTTTTGCCAGGAAAGTTTAAGAGCAAATCAATAATACCATTAGCTGATATGATATCCAGGCCACAGGATAAAATGCCAGTCTGTATTAATCATCTCTGGCTACCATAAAATACCATACCTGGACTTCTGGAGGCTGGGAAGTCCAAGATCAAGATGCTGGCTGATTCAGTTCTCTGATGAGGACTCTCTTCCTGGATTGCAGATGGCTGCCTTCTCACTATGTCATCACATGTTGGGGAGGAGTGAGGAAGCAAGCTCTCTAGTGTCTCCTTTTATAAAGGCACTAATTTTATTATGAGGGCCCCACCTTTATGCATTCACTTAACCTGATTACCTCCCAAAAGCCCCATCTCAGAATACCGTGACATTGGAGGGTAGGGTTTCAATGTGAGAATTTGGGGGAGACATAAATTCAGCCGGAAACAGAATCTCTCTATGTATATCCACATGGCAATTTTCATCCTGCCCTCAGCATATGATTTCAATTTTTGTCTTTCCCTGACTGGCATTTTAGTCCCCTGTATATGGACTGGGGTTGGGGTCTTGAAGTGGAGTTGTGGTTTCTAAGTCATAGACATATTAAGGGTTTGCCTACCTCTGAGTTAGTCCTGGAGCAGGTATCTGACATAGCTATGAAACTCCTTTAGACTGTAGACCCTAATACTTCTTTATTCCCAACAGTGGATTTCAGTCATCAGTTGCAGGAAAAATGCAATTAAAATATCATTCCTCATCCACCCTCTTGAATTCTGAGCCTCTGCAAGAAACACTACTTCAAGGCTATCTGCTCACTGAATTCTTTCCAAATTCCTTATCTTCCTCATCTCTATAGAATTAATTGCCTCACTCTATTTTTACATGGGGCTTTCTTCACTCCTCTATTGGAACACTAGCAGCTTTATTTAGTTGTTTGAAGTTTTCTTCCCCACACGGGTTGGTGAGTTCCTTAAGTATTAAAACCAGTTATAAGAGCATCTACTATAGGTTCTTATATACAGTTTTGAGTAAATGCTTTTGAGTAAGTAACACAGGAAAGTACCAGTAGGCAAACATATATATTGAAAGTCTAAACTTTTGAACTTAAAATTATATTAACCTTTAACTATATCAGTAACAGTCCAAAATAAGATCATACATACAATTTTATTATTAACATAGATATTCTTTATATCATGAACTATTCTAAACTTTGGGTAAAGTGTTTCTTGATTTATTTTATAAAATAGGAATTATAATGCTTAACTCTTTTAAATGCTGTAATTAAGTTACACTACCTTTTAAGTAGGAAATATACTACTCTATGGTTTCCTAATGGTATAATCTGTTGGTATATTTAAATTCCTTAAAAATGACATATTCCTTGAAAACATGATGTATTTTACTACTGAGTGTCTGCAGGGAGACTTTGTCACTTCACTCTTAGAATAAATGTTGGCAACTTATTTTCAACATCTTCCTTAGAGATGGTCAGTAATGACATTAAGTCCACAAACACATTTGACATCACATTTGCTTTGTGGGTTGTTATTTTTTGTGAGAAAATTAAAAACAAAACAAAACATTTTACTAGAGAACTGTATGAAATATAGTTTCTTTTAAATAATGTATGATTATTTGTTTTCCAAATGAAATAGTCAACATGGATTTGAGTTAAGTTATGGGGAAGTCTGAAGGTTTTAGGAAAAATTAATTCCCCCAAATTCCTATTGACTTCTGAAGCTCTCTCCATGTGAGTCTTCCTGTCTTTTTTCTAGCCTGATCTGTGTGGAGGTAACTAAATGCGAGAATGGGAGAATTGTTCAATACATAATTTAAATCATCTCTCCTTGACTTCTACAGAATTCATTTCTTCATCCTGCCATCTTGTTCTTTGAAGCAGTGTCCTATCATGTGCCATGCTTGTAATGTCACAGGACGCAGAGAAGTCCATGTTAGCATATAGCCAGCCAACAGGAAGTCATGTAAGTAAGATTTTAAGAATTATATCAGGCAATATTGATGTTTTAATGTAAGTATATAATGAATGATAATGAAGATGTGGCAAACCAGGTGAAGTTATATATAGGGTGTCCTAAAAAATGCATATAAGCACTTTTAATATTTATAAAGGTAGTGTTTATTAAAATATATTTCATTTTCAAAATTGAGCTATCAGCTGTTGATGTGTGCATACATTTTTTGGGCACCTGTAAATACTCAGAAATTTTTAAATGATCATCTTGGCTGAAAAGGAAAGTGCCATTTGTCATAGAATAGTTAAGGCATTTTCTGAGGACATAGAATATTGCATATATCAGAGGTAGGCAATATATATTTTTTCTGAAGAGAGCCAGGTGGTAAATATGGTAGGCTTTGTAAGCCAAATGATCTTAGTCATAACTGCCCAACTGGACCTTATTGTTTGGCAGTTGTAGACAGGATGGGCGTGGCTTTCTTTCAACAAAACCTTATTTATAAAACAGGTGACAGGTTTGGCCTGTGGGTCATAGTCTGTCCAGCCTTGGCACGTAAGATGAAGGCATTCTATATCTCATTTTCTGTTATTATTTAGGTTAATTTGAAAGGAACTGGAGAGCTTAAAATTAAATAATGGACATACTTCATTATTACTCAATTTCTGTTTTTTTTTTTTTTTTTTTTGTTTTTTTTTTTTTTTACCACTGTCAAGAAAGTAGAGCATAATGTAGATTAGGTTTTTTGAATGGCATATTGGAACTTTTAAAAAATATTTTGGAATAATGTAAATTGAAATTCAGCCTCAAGAGCTAAACAAAATAAAGTTACAGACATGGAAACCCAAGAAACTGACTCTTTCTTGATAAAGTGAACACACACATTTATTTTATTTTTACTTTCAGTAATTTTAGCTCCTTCAGAAAAAAAATCCTGGAGCATGTGTATACATCAGTGAAAAAAAATATGAAATAAAGGGTTTATGAAAACTGAAATGCTTTACAAGAATCTTAGGAGGAAAAAGTAAATTCCTGTCTTGAGCAATCATTTCTGGCATCAGAACATAAGTAAACTGAAAGAAAAAGTAGGAAGAACATGCTTTTTTCCTATAATTACCTAGAAAGTAAAACTTAGCCTCTAACTTCATATTCTTCCCTGAAACTGCTCTATTTCCAAGAATTTTAATTAAGAATTCCCCAAACTCAAGAAATGTACTGACAGCCTTAGGGATAAATACATTTTATACCATTGAGGACTCAGCAATCATTAAAGAAGTAATATATCAGGATAAACTAGGGTTGATTCTAGGGATGAAATACTATGATTTCTATTAGAGTAATTAATCATATTCATTGATCTAAGGGATAAAAAGCATATGTTAATCTTTATAGATATTGAATAGTCATTGACAAAATTCAAGTCATTCTGGATGTTAAAAAAAAATAAAAGATGACTCAATAAAGTAAGAGTTAAACATATTATGACCATGACAAACTGACAGACTATTTATGCAATAACATACATATATACAAACATCTGAGCCTGGACACAGCCTTATAAATAATGTCAAAATGCAGCAAACTTTCTGCTGTTTCTGCTATAAGTACAAATAAATTAAGGGAGCATAGTTCTCACCATTAGTGATGTTCTGCCTGAGTTATTAGTCAGCCAAGCCAGGTAGGAGAAAGGAATGAGGATAACACTTAGAAAGGTGAAAGTAAAACTGTTATTTGTGGATGACTAAATACTTAGAAAACTGAAAAGAAGCAAAAATGTTTTAATTTCAACATCTAAAAGAGAAAAAAGATAAATCTGACACTTAAAAAAAAAATCTTTGGTTGGCAAAAACAAAACAAATCAAAACAAAACAAAAAACCTCAGCTACTCTGAGGAAATTCTAAAGGAGAATGATAAGCTAAGAAAAAATACCTGCCTCTCAAATAACCAAGCATTTTCTCGCTAACATGTTAAATTGTGGGGGTGTGGGGAAATTCAAAGCAATAGAACAATGGGCAAAGATTATGAAGGGATAGTTTGCCTTAAAAGAAACACAAATTCCATTTCAACTTATAACAATATTTAACCTCCTATAAAATACTATTTTTTAAAAAAATTTATTTACAAACTATGGGAATATAAGTATATACTTCTAAGTTTGCTTGCATTTCATAAGGGCATTTTTAAGAACCCACAGGAACTAATAAAATGGTTGTCTGAATAAAGACAAGAAGGTGGAGGGAAAATAGGGTGCATAGGGACAGGAATCAGAGCACGATTTCTAAATGAATACCTCTCATATTGTTTTGTTTTTCAACCATGTGAATAAATTACCTTTATAGAAAAAATATTATGAAATGTATTTTTTAAAAATATATTTTTATTGATTTTTTTTACAGAGAGGAAGGGAGAGATAGTTAGAAACATAGGATCAGCTGCCTCCTGAACACCTCCCACTGGGGATGTGCCCACAACCAAGGTACATGCCCTTGACCTTTCAGTTCACAGGCCGATGCCTATCCACTGAGCCAAATTGATTAGGGCACAAATTTTTTTTTTTTTTTTTTTTTTGGTAAATGTGTAAAGCAAGGAATTGCATCTCATTTTATTTTGTATTCTTGATTATTGTAGACATAGAATTTCTTTAAGTTTTCATTTGTTACTCATATTTTCAGCTTTTGAAATTATCTCTTCAATTTCCTACATTTAGAGATGTTTTCATTTTTGTAAACAAAATTTTATAATTTTATAATTTCCTAGTATTAATAAATAAGCAACCAGTAAATTTTAACATACTTATTTTACTTTTTAAAAATCTGTTTATCTTATCATTTTGTTAACTATACATTAACTTAAGGGACTTGGTGATTTTCATTTTGTCAAATCTATCAATCTTATTTTCTTAAGTATTTCAAATATTGTTTTAAAGCCTCTCCAGGATGAGATACTTATAATATCTTTTTCTTTTTTAATCCTCACCTGAGGATATTTTTTCCATTGACTCTCTCTCTCTCTCTCTCTCTCTCTCTCTCTCTCTCTGTGTGTGTGTCTGTCTTTCTCTCTCTCTCTCTCTCTCTCTCTCTCTCTTCTTTCTTTCTTTCTTTCTTTTTTTCTTTCTTTTTTTAGAGAGAGAGAGAGAGAGAGAGAGAGAGAGAGAGAGAGAGAGAGAGAGAGAGAGAGAATAAAAGGGAGGATGGAGAGGGAGAGAGAGAGAAAAAAAATCAACATAAGAGAGACACATGGATTAGTTGCCTCCAGCTGGAGGGTTCTTTTTTTTTATTGATTAAGGTATTACATATGTATCCTTAACAACCCCTCACCATACTCCATACCCCCTCACCACCTGCTCATGCCCTCACCGCCCCTGGTGTCTGTGTCCATGGGTTATGCGTATAGAGATGCATTTAAGTCCTTTGGTTGATATCTCCCCCTGCTAGAGGGTCCTTAACCAGGAATCGAAACTGGTCAAGACTGAGGGCTGATGCCCTAATCACTGAGCAACCTGGCAGGGCTAGAATGCCTTTTTTTTAAAGCTGGAATTTGTCATATGATGTGAGATGAGAATATTCTTCTTCTCCTAAATAGCTAACCAATGGCTTCTCAGAATCTTTGTTAAAAATGTTCCCTTACCTGCAGTGTCATGATTCAGTGTTTCATTAAGTTATCTATTCATACTTAAGTGACATATTTATTTTTATTTGTGGTAAATTTTAACATCTACTAGGTCTAGTTCCTATTTATTACTTCTCTATCTCAAAATTATTTTTGCCAGTGGATTTTTCCACATCAACTTTAAGATCATAGTGTCAATTTAACTTTCTATATCCACTTTTATGGCAAGTTCACTTCCAATTTTATTTCTTCTGAGATATTTTGGAAAAAATAATAGCTCTATAGTATATAGTGTTCCCATCCAGGAATAAAGTACACTTCTCAAATTATTTAATTGTCTGATTTTTATTGACTTTTATGTAAATTCACTATATTCCTTGTATTCATTCCTAAGAATGATATAATTTTGTCTTTAATATGGACTAAATAATTTTTCTACATATTACTAAGATACAGAATGATGAATATAAAATATTTTAGTTATTTAATCTTAAATTTATTTTGTTCTAAACCATCCCATAGAACTTGCTATTTTAGTTCTTAGATGCCTCATGTAATTTGCTTAGCTTTGTTAATTAAATAATTGTAGAAGAATATACCAAAAGTGGTTTTATTATTTTGAATAATTATAAGTATAATTTCTATTTTTTGCCATTATTTGTGTTAGTCAGAAATTCCAGAAAAATGCCAAATAATATCATCAGGATATCTTATTCTGATTCCTGAATACAATAGGAATATCTATTGTGATTTGCTAGTAAGCTTGAAGTTGGTATTAGATTAAAAGAAATTTTTATTATCTTAAGAAATTATTATTCTATTCTTTTGATTAAGAATTTATTATTGTTTTTTTTAAAAGAACAGGTGCTGACTTTTGTCAAATGAGTTTAGGGCACAGTTGGTACGGTGTTTGGAGATTGGCTCATTAGAATTTGAAACCCTATCTGCCAATTAGTAGCATTGCTCTCAGTTTTATCATTTGTCAGATGGACACAGCAATGAGGTTCTATAAACAGCACATGAGCTAAGCCTTTAACCTGTTATACGTGGCCTTTTGATTGCAGTAGGCACTTAATAAGCAATAACTTTATCATCTATTCAGATGATGGCACATTTTTTATAGAACAATTTAAAATGAAAGAATGTGAACACAGCAAGTCTGACATGAATCAGAAAACAGTGACTTACCTTATGAAAGCATATATTTCTCTACGCTGTGTTGGAGCACCTATGGTTCAATTCACACCCTGTTTTCTTCCTTCTCGATATGTCACTTACCTTTAAAAAATGGGTTTGCTTTGTCCAGTCAGCAAGATTAAGAAACATGTTTGTTTTCTGCTCTTTCGAACTCTATTTATTCACTTATAGGGAGGTAGGGTGGAGTTAAATCAAATACTAA